TCCATCAGCAGACGGTTAAGATTCTCATCGAAAGTAACCCAGTCGTTCTTGAGACTCATATGGTAGGTCATGGCGTTGATGTATCCAATCTGAATAGGGAAGGGCAGCGCGCGAAGGGGCTTGGCGTATATGGGCTGTAGAAACCTGTCTTTGTATGGCTCTACAAGCTCCCATACCTCACAGCCAGCGGCCTCTGCGATGAGTTCTAGCGAGTTTTTGGCAGTCTCGCGGACAAACTTGTTCATATGCGAAAGCTCGGTATTGAATTGCATACAGATTTGGGCCAGGCGGGGCTGCTTGACCTGTGGCTGACCTGGTTGCTGTTGGACTGGCAGAGCATCGGCTTTCTTGACATCTTTGGTGATTCGCCGAAGCAAAACTTCAAGGCTTGTCTGGGCAAGACTCCTGGTCTTCTCTGGGAGATCCAGGGGCATGTCTTTGATGACATACATGAGAGCACGAATGAATTCAGTCTGTTTTGATGCGACCCAAGCATCCCCGAGGTCAAGCTCCGTAAGCAAGAAATTAATACCAAGACTTCCTCCAGTCTTTGTAAACCATTCTTCCTCATAGCAGCTATGGCAGAATGTGTTACTTAGGTGGTGGAATAACTGAAGTCGGCCAACATTGGCATCTGAGCCAAAAATGAGGGCCGTGCAGCTGTAGAGTTCTCGGATCGCCTGTTGCGCTGCTTCGCGAACATCGGGGTGGTCAGATGCTAGGGATTCAACAATAGCGTCTGATAAGACACGAGTATCAATCGTCAGTGGGCCTTCGCCTGCTTTAGGGTCAAAGGGGCTATAGTTTCGCTTCAGGTCGATCAAAGATCGCCCAACTTCGATGAGGACGAAATGTCGACAAACGTCAAGGAGAAAAGTGCTGGACTCCTGTTTGACATCCGGCATTGACTGCGAAAACATGACCGCCTTGAGCAGTTTCTTGGTTATTTTATCCTCTTCATCCTTTTTGGGAATAGACTTTTCACGGCTTGAAATTTCGAACGGCGCGAAATTGATATCCATGTTGCGGTTCAAAAAATCTTGTGCCTGGAGCCTAACAATCTTTGGAAAATCATCTGGCAGTTGATCAAAACCGATGCGCAGTTTCAGCTGAGCCTTGATGAAATGGATCGCCTGTTTCTTGTAGTAATCATCATACTGTCGATTTTGGCTATTTTTATTGTTCCTGGGCACATCCATCAGCTTTTGAATGGCAAATTCGATACCAAGTTCGGCCGGGAATGCCCTGTCTTTCTTGGAACCAATAAGCCGTAAATCAAAGCTCGAGGGATCGTCTGCAAAGCTAGTATACGCAAGGGGAACAGCGCCTGTCATGAATTTGCGGTTTCTACCTCCAAGCTTTCCCAGAATCCGCATGGTAGTATGCGCATGGAAGTGGCTATAAGGATGTGGCTTCAGATGGTCGAATAAGGCGGTCATGAGCTCGTCGATTACTGGTGCCATGATCGGATCGAGGTAGTCCGCCGTGAGATTGTCGACACAGAGCTCCAAGGTACGAAGTCCTTGCCCAACAAGGTCAGTGCCGGCCCGAAGAGCAACAACTAACGGACGCATGAGAAAGCTGAGATGCGGCAGCAAATGGCTAAGTCGCGCTGGCACAGTAAGGCACAGCTCAACGTATAGATCGCGTTCTGATGGTTTCCGCGCGGCCATGAGAAGGTTATTGAGAACATCCAGTAGCATCTCAAGCAAAGGTAGAATTTGCTTGTAGAGCTGCTCGAATTTACCGCCACCGATGCTCCTGAAAAGGGACCGCAGAAGAAGGAAGTAGTTCATTGGCTCCTCCGCTTTTGTCGACAGCTCTATCGATTTTGTCACAATGTTGACGACATGAGGTAGCAAAACTTGTTCATTTTGTGTAGCAAACAAGGTCACCGCCATAAAGGCCAGTTTGAAGAGCCGCAGCAAGATGGAGGATTTCTTGACGTCTGCTGAGCCAACTTCGTCGATTCGCTCCATAAGAAACTGCAAAAGCATACCGCAAAAGCTCGGCGACGTCGCTTCGCTGGCAAGGAAGAACTGGGGTATATGCAGCAGGGCCGTGTGCTCAAAGATCATGTCATAAAGATGTGGAATCTCCTGCTGGAATACTTCGTGAAAGGTAGCTGGGTCGATGCAATGGAAAACGGTGGCGAATGTTTCTAGCAGATCTTTCTCTTCCTTACTACTCGAGACCATGTAAAAATTCGCCATGTACTCAACAGGTGATACATACTGATTCTCCGTTGCTGGTTTTTCGATTTCGTAGTATCGGAAGACATAGGCACCCTCCCGAAACAATTTGACGATTACATTCACTTCCTCTGCCGTAAAGCCGTAAGCGACCTCTTGCCAGTGTGCTGGTGCGTTCTGGGGGTCAATGGGAGTGCCAATGTTGCAAGTTCTCAGTTGGTAGAACGTATTCTTAAGCCCATTCATCAAATTCCTGAAAAGAAATTTGTTGTCTCCGACTGGATCAGCACCTCGATCCCGGGGGTTTGAGATCTTGATGGGTACCGCGGAGAAGATGTCGGTCTCGTCCCAATCTGGGGGTGTCTCCTTATCAGCAAGATAGGATTCAGGCGCGCCAGCCTCGGCCTGTTGGTGGTACAACTTGGAAAGCTTCACAGCGTTCGGGTACTGTCGGTTCATAGCAGCAAATTTGTCGCCGATGGCATTGAGAATCATCATCAAGTAGTGTCTTGCGTCCACCTTGTTGGGAAGCTTCGCGATGCATTCAGCCATGTTCAAGAGAAGCTTCGCACTCATTGTCTGGAAGCTAGTTCCAGGGAAGTTATCTTGAAGATTTCTGGTATATACTTCGACAGTTTTGCGAATCTGCTCTGGAGTCAATGAGTCGCGCACGTGGTGAATCAGGTCGGCCAACATGCTATATGCTAGCGGCCTCATCGTCTCATAAACAGTCAAGCCATCGCCAGTTAGCGTGCGCTCGTCCAAAAGCGCATCGATCTTGGGGAGAAATATCTTGCGGAAATTGTAATTGATTATATGCCTAATAGCAATGAGTAGCTCCTTTCGCGTACCCGATTTCTCCCGCGGGCAGTCTTTGAGTAATCGAATCACAATGTCCGGCAATAGGTGGAGAAAGTCTTTCAGTTGTGAAGCGTATTGGCGGAGGAGGTAGGCTAGGAAGCTCATCGTCTTGATCTGAGCCGTGATGAAATCACCAAAAGCGGCCCGATTCTTGATACCCGCACTCACTCCTGTGTGTATATCGCCCCGAGCAGCAGCATCTTCGTGGGCCTGTTTCTGAGCGCTGGCTTGAAGAGAGAGGAAACCCTTGATGAGCGGAACGAATTTGGGGACGTTGACCTGAACTGTGCTGCGATATATCTGAAAAATCGAAACGACGATGATGGGACACTCGGAAAGGACTTTGAAGGATTGCATTCCTTTAAGAAGCGGTCGGTTCTGTTGCTGGGGATCGGCACCCAGCTCCGGCACTGAAGCTGCAGGAGAGCCTGGTCGAGGAGACTGGAAGTTGGCGTGTGTGCTGCCCGGTGTTGACGGTGCACCGGGTTGGGGGTTTGGAGCGAGCGACGCATTATCTAATTGTTCCTTGACAACTTTTTCCATCTGATCGAAGAGCTCCTGGATCAACGAGAGGAAGGGCTGGACCTTGTTCTGCAAAACTTGATGTTGGTGGCGCATGATATCGGATGTGATTTTGACGCATAGTGTGGCATTGTCTTCGTTGTCTATGCGAACCAGCTGCATAAGCAAATCGACAATCTCTTCGGCATATGGTTTGAACGGTTCGGTGGGGGACATGGCGGTTGGCAGCCGGTGCAGCACCTCGAGGATGCAGTTGCGGAGTTTCTATCCCTCTCTATCAGTAACCATAAATCTTGGACGTATTCTGCAAGCTCATTACCTGCTCCGGAGAGCTGCTTTGAAAGATGCATGGCCCTCGTAGGATGTTTATGAAGATGGGCATCAGCCGTTTCAAGAAGGGTTCGTAGATGGGGCCATTGGTGTAAGCGTCCAGGCTGTCGCGCAAGGTGGTTGCCGCTTCCACCTTGAGCCGAGGATCTGTTGATTAACGAGAGATTAGCAGTTGCGCTCATCACAGCAGCATGCGACGAGGAGAAGACGAAGAGCGAGTAAGGCTGAAGTTGAGGCCGCCGTACCTAATTCCGGGGTGCTAAGTCGCTTCACGACATCGTCAATAGTGGTTCCCGACATGGCTGCATTATCGGCGTCCGTGAGACGCAGCTCTGCCTTCCATCCGAGGAAGGGATGGTGAGGCGATGCCGAAACCGAGAAATCGCAGCAAGGCTGAGGGCGAGTATGGGGACGAGAACGCGCCGCGAAGAGGCTGACGAAGGTGGCGCTGAGCGGAGTAATGTAGCAAATTAAGATGTTCTATCCCTTTGGAAATCTTCTTTGCAAAAAAATTCAAATCGAAGGGCCGCCTGTCGCTAGGAAAGATGGGGTGGGGAGCGTTGGCGGATAAAAGTATGGAGTTGTTGCGGCCCGCAGCCTTGGAGGTTGAATCTACTGAATGCGACGCCTCGTGAAATTTCCGGAGTTGAACGAAACTGGGCATCGCGGTCACCAAAACCAATTGCGCTAGGTGATGCAACAATGATGTTCCGCGCACTAGTGATGCATACTCCCCAAGCTCTGGGGTGAGCGTAAGGAGCTCTGGGCATTCTTATCTTATCGATAACGTCTTGATCAGCGGCAGAGCACGCAGTACTAGTAGTACTTACAAGTATTACATGCGGTATCAAATAGACTGCATTAGTAAATCACTAGAATTATATACGCTGAGGTCTCGGTATCTTGTGGCATCTGCTACCTATGTGTGAGATTGCATATTTTTTTTTTCCTATACTAAATTCCATCTAATTATGATTGTTGGTGAATTGTCTTTGCTGTTGCTACTCTGTTTGCGCCGATATCGTCAAAGAGAAGGCGCTTAACCCCCACTAGAGATACTACACTTGGCGGGGAAGTTTCGTAATACTACCGAGGAGATAACCAAAAGAATCGGCAATTTCGCATAAAGCGAAGTAGTATCATCGTGACTCTCTCCCGACATTTAATCTTCACTCAAGTTCAAATATTTATCGACTTTTCACTTGAAAATCCTGCACTCCCAGGCCCATACCAGCTAAGGTTACTGACACGACCTCGATCCTCATCTAGGCATACAACCTAACCTAGACTGTCATAAATAACACAAGCAACAACGGGACGACGCAAGCAATATGAGTGGCGAAAACAAAGCCTTTTTCTATGGTAAATATACCATTTTCAATTTTAAAGATGCACTAGACTAATGCGATGTGTTCTTTAATGCCTACCTAGGGACACTGGTGAGATTCTTATGCAACTCAAAGGGCTATTTTACCACATACTGATTTTCACAGATGGCTCCCGAAGTGTTCTTTAGCGTTTGCTATGGCGATAGGCAGCCACCACAGGCAATTCAAGACCTTCATACGTTTACACCTGCTATTCTAGATGGTTACTGTCGCCACAGAGTCCAATCCGAAGACTACCCAGCCATCATTGCCGAGGAGGGTCACTGCGTGCGGGGCATGTACGCGACTGGACTGACAGAGGCCAATCTGCAAAAGCTGGATGTCTTTGAAGGAAATGAGTATGAACGAATCGACACCAAGGTTAGGTTGCTGAAGAAGGAGGGCGAGAAGGAAGTTGAGGGAGAGATCAAGGAGGCATCCGTCTATGTGTTCCTGAACCCTGGGGCGCTGGAGAAGCGCGAATGGGATTTTGAAGATTTCCGCCAAAACAAAATGAAGCTGTGGACGCGAGGAGACTGGATATTTCCTGATGGTAATATCTGAGCTCCTGTGTGCATGCGATAAGAGTACGCTGACTTTTCACTTTCAGATAATCGGACGGCAAATGCAGTCGGCGCTTAACTGGCGAATGCAGAGGCGACACGTATAACGCATATAATAAGATCTAGGAGCTAGATTAGTTATGCTGTTAGATATTATGTATTTTTTGAATAGTTGATAGCGGATGATGCGTAAATAAACGTCTTATGTGTAGAAGGCAAGATAGTATAAAACGATAAGACGTCAGGCTTCACCAATTCTCTCAGCCAAGCAGCCAACTCTTCTGTGAATGGTGCGCACCATGGGAGGGTGACATCCGTTCTGCTTAGGATAGATACCCGGAACGGGAAATATTTGTGGACACGCGGGTTCAGAGACCAGGAATCTACCTTTACCCAGACCACGGGTCGACAAACGTGCACTTGGCGGAACCAACAGCTCGGACTTCTACTTCGACCAACAATGCGTATGATTGAGCAGTCTCCACATTCAACGACATGTTGGCATCACATGTAATTGCGTATATATTAGACAATGAGAAATTTACAGCAGTGGATTCATTAAATTACCTAAATACATGCTTATTGCCGCATAGGAAGCGCCAGGGAATACGTTGACTGTATGTGGCCCTCCCGGCGACGCAATTTGCGAGAAGCCAGCACTATGGACGAAACGAGAAGGTCAGAACACCAACGCAAATTTTAGGTGAATTTCGGATAGGATTCCGAAGTAATTTGTCTGTAACACTGTTAGCGAACGGAGCATTTCAAGCTTAAGTAAATTAAACAGGGTTCAGCGAGAAAAGCAATGTCCACGGCATGGCTCCCGATTGCAATTTTAGCCTCTAGTTCTCCTGTGCTTCGGAGAGCTGGCCGAGCTTGAAGCGAATATCCACGTAGAAATGGAGATTAGTGCAATCAATCTATCACCATGACCGCGCTAGGAAGTCTGCCAAGAAAACATTACTTTCTCTCATATGAGAAAAACCCCACAGTAATAAACCAAGGACGGGGTGCACTCTCAGTTGAAGAGCGATGCCAAGCCTAGGAGTGTCTGGCATTGAGAGAGCTTCACGCAGATATTTTTGAACATGATACCGCTGCGGAACCGAATGTTACTGAATAATTACTATTTAATTACAAGCCGACTTGGCCATTCTGCTAACAAGATCTTTTGTCTTGTATGTGGATAGATGCAGCGGCCAAGAGTTCGGACTGGGAAAACGGTCGTGCCGTCAATTATGGGTAATCTGCTGATGCTGCCGACAGCAGACACTAATAACCCCTTCATCTTATTCTGGTCGCGAAGATATCATCTGCCTTGGCTACGAAGCTTGTATCGACATAGCTACTTGAGAGTATACGCCCAGTGCTGAATCGTGATGGCGTCTAATAGCTGCATGCCAACACCAAACGTGTGACGGCTTACGACATACCAAAGAGGGAAAGTTACGATGGAGGCGCTAAGTTGTCTTGGAAGTGTATGTATATGAGAAGGTGAAGGCGGTCTACCCCAGGCCTGATATCCAGTGGGCGAGCTGCCTAAGGGGCCCTCCGGCGGCTATGAGTTGATGCGCATGAGTTTGTAGACGCGATCAAAAGTCGGCGATGCCGTCAATATCGTACACCGCTTCGTGGTTGCTTTGGAGGCCTTCCATGTAGGTAAGTTTTCAGCGGCTATTAGGCTCTAGGCGATTGCATGCAGGCACCTGCACGTTTCGCGCTCGCTGAGTGGAAGGCGGTTAGTAGGACTCATCACGGGATTCTGCGCAGCTTAGTGGCCTGCAGCGTTCAAGCATCGCCAGCCCCGGCGCGTCTATGGTCCAAACAAAACCTGTGCCAAGTCATCCGCTGAGCCCGCGACTGGCTGCGATGCCGCTGCTGCTGCCGCCGCCACAACACGCATGGTATGCTCCTCAACACCATTGGCTTCTGCCCCTGCTGACTGGCGATTCAGCTGCACGCGTGTCTCGTTGTGACGCCATCGTCCCTTGTCTCGCTGGTGCGTATTCTTTCCGCCTCCCTCGACCCAAGCCTTCCATAGAGGCTGTGAATCTGCGGGCAAGACGCCTAGCAGGTGCTGGTCATGAAACCAGCCTTTGTTTCACCAGAACTCGATCCATCCCACGGTACGGAGACTAGGGATTTAGAGCACCCTTGCCCTTGCATGCCGAGCGAACAGGGGGTCACAGAACTAGGGACCGGCGTAGCATTGGGATCTCAGAGGGAGGATCTTCGCCACACACGCACTCCAGAAGCGATACAGACAAACAGGCTGAGCCCCTTGCTCGTATACATTACGAGATTTTTTGTGGCTGGCTGGTTATTGCCTAAATCGACATGTGAGCGTTGACGGCATGATACGACTCGTGTGGTGTCGACGAGGTGGCGAGTGCCCCTTTGCTTCATCCAGCGCTGTCCGTAATACGGCCTTGCAAAGAGTACACGACAGCTTCGACAGCTGTGATAGCTTTGGGGAAAGGAAGAGAGCGCTAGTGCTGCTACCATGTTTGATACGCCGTATGCGAAAGCGAGCCTATAACTATGAGCAAACATCAGTCTGCAAGATGGAACAGGCAAACAGGCAAACAGCCATGGTGCCACCGAGCCATTACTTTCGGCCCGTGGCCGATCACAATGTTTCTTGAGAGAGCCTGTAAGCCCCCACACCCTACCAAGCATCTCCTTGTATGGAGATGGCAATGGCTACGCTCACAGAAGCCATGATTGAGGTATGCTTGAAGCGTAGCTCTTTTCTCCGCATCATCCCTGGAAAGCCTGGCTCCTCGGCGGTAAAGCCTGGTGCCGCATCCCCAGCTCGCATACAAGTTGCTGCTTAATGATATGCGCAATGAAAAGGCTTGAGTGGTGACGGTTCCCTCTCACGAAGCAAGCGTCATTCCTCTGTTTGGTCAGCTCACGAGCGTTTAGTGCACCAATAGCCTATCATACCCCTGCCACCCACCACTTCACTGAGTCTGATCCAGCAAAGTGAATGCCTAATGCCAGAGCTATTGGGCACCAGAGTATTATGGCAGAGGAAACAACTGTGGCGGCAGAGATGGAGTTAATTTTTGCTATTCGGTATAGCGACGCGACGCATGAATGTTTATTTTCCTGCCCCTTTGTTGGCAGCGGCAGGGAGATCATGTCGACTTTTCGAATAGGCTGGAAAAATCAGTGGCACAAGATCTTCCTCCTCCCTTGCACAGGGTCGGCAAGCCGTGGCCAATGATGGACGAGGAACCAAAAAGACCACGACAGTTGTGGATCTCACCAATCGACTAACCTCGACTCCGGCTTCATGCCCAAGGGGTCGGGACGACCTCATTGGCGGCCGCGTCCTTTAGCAGTGCTACCTCGACAACATACCCGATCGTTACAGCAGAGTGCTGAGCCTCCAAATCCCTCCGCATTTCGGTCTTTAGTACATGTACTCGTGTGCTTCTTAACCGCTGCACCTACGTCAAGCGACCCCTAGAGTCGCGATAACTTGTCATGCAGCATGCACCCCTCAAAGAGAGCTCCGTACTGCAGGTAGGCGCCAAGGCACAAGTGACTGGGCACCGTGGTGCTCGAGCCTTTTTCTTCAAGATTTTCATGCACACCCGCGCACAGACAGGCCATCCGATGTCTGACCTGTGTACGGCACAGGTTCAATGTACATTCCTGGCCGTGGTAGTACTGGCCATGTTCTAGTTGAAACAATGAAAGACTAATGAACATATGTCAGTTGAACTATGAAAAACCACAGAGTTTCTTGAAAGACGTCCAATTATGTAAGGGGCTTTGTTCAGGTCAGGTTGTTTTAGCTGATGTATATCCAACAAGCACTGGCACTCTTCATAGTGGCAAACTTCTTACAGTAGAAACGAAAAAAAAAAAAAGAGAGAACAGGGCTTGCAAGGTTACTCAGGGGTTGGACTTAGCTCTGCTTGGCCTTCTGGGATTCTCGGCTGATGTCCACTCATGTTCGCTATTTCTGGGTCGTTCTTCGAGACTCTGAAACAATCACTCTAGCCTATCAGTGGACTCCCAGGACACTCCAGTCCCTTCGACACACTACTTGTGCACTACACTAGTGATCCGCGGTGCCTTGCAAACACCCGTTTTCCAGCCCGCGGTTGAACTCTACTGGGCTCACTCTTTCTCCCCGCTGGCTTTGTTTCTTGAGCGAAACATGGGTGCCATTAAGCATGAAGTCCCTGTTTGGACCGGGGCCCCTGCTTCGCCAATGGCTCCCCTGCCTCTCTCTGTTCCTGCAGCTGTATCTTTCCTGCTAGTCATGATCTAGGGGCGATGGCGGCTGAGCCGATTCCCTTTCAATATGCCACCCTGCGGAACGCATTGTATATAATGGACGTCTCACCCCAACCTCGTCCGATCTTTGTTTTGTGTTTTCAAGACATCCCCAGTCAACAGTCCTTCCTTCAAGTGAACGTCGTCAAGACTCACTCTCCTTCATTCTTTCACGAGGCTAGCCCTTGTTTTCTTGTTTTACCTTTTGCTCATCTTTTCCGAGACTTTCCTTACATACGCTGGCCTGGTTGCTTGCTGTTAAAGAATCTGTGATATCTTGTGTGACTGCAACGGTCTTTCTTACCGTCTTCTCGTAGCTTTCACTGTAAGTCGGCAAACCGCTCTCCGCGCTATTCCATCTCTCTGTCCCTCTTCTTTAACTCAAGCCCTTGGTTCTGATAAAAGGACTGGAAATCATGCTTGTCAAGAATTTGAAACATAAACTAACACGAATACTCTCAGATTCTCAATCACTACCCAGTCTTTTGAGCCTCTTCCCCCATCTTGACGACTATTCATACCACGGCATCATCCTGAGACTTTTTCGTCTGGTACGATTTAGACTCTGATATCACTCTCTTTCAAAATGTTCTCCAAACTTTTCGCCGTCACTGTGCTGGCTACGGCCGCCAGTGCCCACATGAAGATTACAAGCCCAGTTCCGTATGGCAGTTCAGATCTGGACAACAGCCCTCTCTTTGCCAATGGCACGAATTTCCCTTGCAAACTGCGAGGCAACGTCTATAACCTCGAGGGCGCTAGCAATGTCTTTGCCCAAGGCAGCACCCAGAAACTCGCTTTTCTTGGATCTGTTGTTCATGGTGGCGGTTCATGCCAAGTTTCCGTTACTACTGACGCTCAGCCTGACAAGAACTCTGTCTGGAAGGTCATCAAGTCTATTGAGGGTGGCTGCCCTGCCAAGGACCAAGTTGGCAATATGCCCGGCCCTGCCAGTACCGTGGATCCTTACACATACGAATACACTATTCCTAAGGAACTGCAATCCGGCAACTACACACTGGCCTGGACTTGGTTCAACAAGATTGGCAACCGTGAGATGTACATGAACTGCGCGCCTTTGACTGTCACTGGATCAGGAGGCTCCAAGGACTTCTTGAACACTCTTCCGGATATGCACCAAGCCAACTTCGCTGGCGCGAAGGACTGCGGAACTGACGAGGGCCATGATCTCTTGTTCCCCACTCCTGGCAATGATGTTGACAAATTCAACGGCGCTACCGAAGTCTTCCTGGGTCCAACTTGTATTGCTCCTGGTACCCCAAACCCTACCAACGGCGGCTCTGGCTCTGGCTCTGCTCCCACCAGCTCTCCTCCCCAGCCTACTCAAGTCAGTGTTCCCAGCGCCGGCGGTGTCTTTATTACCAGGCCACCAGCTTCTCTGCCAGCTGCTACCCAGCCCGCAGCTTCTCAACCTGCCGCTTCTCAACCTGCCGCTTCCGAGCCTGTTGTCACCTCCGCTCCCGTTGCGAGCTCCCCTGCTCAGTCTCAGGCGGCTCCATCCCCTACTTCTGCTGCTGCTGCTCTTCCGCCAGCTCCCAGCTCCGGCTCCAACGCCAGCTCAGGATCAAGCCCCAGCGGCGGTTTCGCAGCCGGCACAGCTTGCCCCACTGAAGGCCAATGGAACTGCATTGACGGAACTCACTTCCAGCGATGCGCCAGTGGTAGCTGGTCTGCTTCCCAGGCTGTTGCTGATGGTACTTCATGCCAGTCTGGTCAGGCTGAGAACCTCAAAATGGTTGCCAAGAGGGGCAAGAAGTCGATGCGCCGCGCCGTTCGCATGCGTGCTTAAGCATCATGAGCAATACCCTTTAGACGTCGACACTGAGTTTTCTACAGTCTTTTTTATTGGAGAATTTGGAGATGGATTGTGGTGGACATTTAACCATTCCCTTGAAGGGAGGATTGACATTCTTTTGATGTATATACTTTTGTATTTATACCGCTCTTTCTTATTCGTTGTAACATCACCGAGATTTTAGATTACATTACCCTGGAAAAATATACATACGGGGCACATAAGCATTTAAGCTTTATCACGAAAAATACATTTCCACTATGCCTGTGGCTGAGAAAATTGTCTTGATGACTTACATATCGTAGTCATATCGGCTCATACAAAGGGATTAAAATGTTATGCCCGCTCAAAGCGTTCATCTTGTGGGCAAACCTACTGGCCTGATTGAAGTCACTCCGTTTGATTGCAGCCAGCCGGTATAATCAAGGTCAATGGGATCATTTGAAGTCACCTCGTTTGATCGAGGTCACCTGGGAAAGCGGGCAGGCAGGCATGGAGATAAATGACCTTTTGCTTCCAGCGCGTTTTGTGTATTTAGATTTATACTTTCATTGAAATGCCATGTTAAATAAAGGAGGGTCTGCAGCTTAGGCGAAGTGATGATGAAAAGGAGAGTTTTCTAGATTTTGAAAATGGTTGGAAGTTCTGCTACAATTGATAAAGCAAATAATAATTGCTACATGAACCGTTTTTTTAGCTGCATCTATTTATTCTTATTTTTTTTTCCGGCTCATCAAAGAGAGCAAAGCTGAGAGTGTGATTTTCTCCGGTTGGCACTTCTACAATATGCTTCGCAGCCTTGCTTAACAAAAGACTCTTAGGAGATCATTTTCGTTTCCATTTTCTTGGCTTTACGTGTGTGATTCATATGACTTTTGTTCGTTCTTTTACAATGTCAAATACAATAGATTTGCCATAGGATTCATTTTTTATCAATTTAGTCAAATACCTTAATTCGTCATGATCTAGCTGTGATCTATTTCTACCAGTAATCCTCTTTCATAGCCAAGTGCTATCACTCACCGGCCCAATATCTTTTCTCTTCCTCAACCCACTGGGAACTATCCTATATACAAAAGACCTCTTCTCTTCCAACGACGCCGGATCAACCAATGCAACATGTGGATCCATATCAATACCCAGATGCACCTTCTGATCTACTCCAATGTATCGTCCGAAACTATACGTCTTTTCCTCCTTGGTATCTCCTGATGATGATAACTTTTTGCCATCGTCAAGAAGAATGTGGCTTGCGGAAACGAATGCGAGGATCGACCCAATCGTTGTTGGCACGCGAGGGAGGTTGAACATGATGCCGCGGGAGTAGAAGATGGCGACTGCAATGATGTTGAGGCCTAGAATGGTGACACTTATGATGAATGCGTTCTGGTCGACGAATATTCGTGTTTCATCTGTTAGCTTCTGGCCTGTTACTGAGAGGGTCTTGTCTCCGGGGACAAAGAGCTTTAGGTTGGCGCCGAGAATAATGACAAATAGCTTTCGGTATAGTTTCTCGATTGTCGGTATTAGGTCATTAGGATCGGGCGGTGGCTTTTCTGCGTCTAGAAAGTCTCTCGAGTCGAGAGATATCGCTAACAGATAATTCATCATATCTCTCGTAAGCGTGTCATTATGCCAGTTTCCAGGGATGCCCAGCATATTATTCATCAGCGAGATCATCCGGTTTGTCTGCACACCCTGATCTTCACCATCCAAGTGCATGTAAACCTCGCTTGTTCGTTCGTATGCCAAGACATTGCCCTCTGAATCGTGGCGCACATCAAACATTGCCGTTTGCAAATATGGCTGACAAAAAGCAAAACTTCCTTCCATAGTGCGGTTCAAGCCCACGGTTTGTGATTTTCGTCCCCAGCCAAACGTGATGGTTCTACTGCAGTTGTAGGAAGCAATACCCGGATCCATAATCAAGCTGTTTTCAAAGGCTGATTGTTGACTGGGTATATTTTGACTCGTTTGGACTTCCCATTTGGCGAGCTTGACAATGTCGGAGCTATTGTTTGCACAACTTATATAAGTGTTATTAGGAAATGTAACTGTAAGTTCCGATGATGGTACGGCAGTGCAGTTTGCGTTGATGCTGAAACCGCGAGTCGGTACTCGATAAGTACTGCTGCTATTGCTCTCGTTGCCGCTATCAACTGTATATGATTGGAAGAAGTAATCGGATGTTGTCCAAGGCGGCAATGGGGCTCCAGAAGAAATATTCGCCATGGCGAGGTATGCAAATTGTAGAAAGGTTGCACCGTCTTTTGTAAATTCAGACGTAGATTGGTTATCGAACAGTGGAGCGACATTCGGAGTGAAAGTAGCCGTGTAGTTGGCCGTTGTCAGATCCTCATTGAAGAGCGCACCGAGCCCTACGGCGAGAACATTTGATAGCAGAGCAATAATACATATCATGGCTAGCATTAGATGCCGCGCTCGGAGCGCTCTCCATGTCACCAACTGAGGAGGGAGTGCCGTGTATGTTGTTTCGATGGACTTGGAGGGTTCGCTTCGTCCTTTCGACATGGTCCTAAATGGCTGTAAAAGACAAAGGAACCTATTGAGCAGAACCCAAAAAGGCTCCGAGAAGGTAGCGAAAGCAGTAGGGATGTAGTTTTCGAGAATCTGCAGCACTTCGAAATTGGAAGATGGGCGAATAAGGCCTGTTGGTACGATTAGAAACGCAACACGTCGGAGGGGGATAGCAGGATAACGAGAGCTGAAACTCACCATTTTGTCGATCGTTCTGAGCTTTAAGATATACAATGCCGACAAGAGCTCCAATCTGTACTACTCCAAAGAGCAATCCCATCTCTCTCCGCAAAGCCGTCGGTCGAATAGGCTCATAATAGCCAGTGGGCTTGTCAAACCGTTTATCACCATGTTCTTGCTCAAGGTTATCAACCTTTTCTATGTATAAGCTTCTTGCATCCTTGCTATCGCTTCGAGTGAGTCGGAATTTGTCGTCCTGGAACAGCTCCCGCAGCGACTTCTCATCTGCGTGGTCAACTGGACGAAACAGCTCGTTCGTTTCTGATCCGTTTCTGAATATCGCGACGAGCCTTGAGATGGAAGATGGGTTGGAGTTTAGGTAGCTCGTGGACCTGTGACAAATCCACAAAAGGCTTATGGTAAAAATTGCCACAAGGAGGAGGAGGCTTTCGACAATAGCGGAAAATAATCTGCTGACAATGATGCCGCTCTGCTGAAACGAAGAAATGGCCGTGCTATTACCCACACCTGTCTCATTAGAGAGCAAACGGTTTACAGTAATAGCAAAGAGAAATTTATGGGCGCGTTCGAATGCCTCATGGAGAGTATTCGGATCGCTATATGGAGTTGCTGGTTCGTTACGGCCGTCAAGAGCATATCCGACCATGCCGGAATTGACAGGAGTTGTCAACCATGTTTTGTCTATCCGACTACCCAGCTGCATGACCGACTCAAAAGGAAAATCTCGCTTAGTGACCAACAATTGTTCCAAAGGCATTCCTGCGAAAATCAGGAACTCAAAAGATGTCGAGTTGAATTCCTTCTCAGTGAGAGTTTCTGGAGGCGATATAGGCTGAATAGAGGAATTTTGCGGCTTATAGCCATCTGTAACAACTGTGACCATTACTTGCTGCTTGTAATAAGATGTCTGACAGTAAAGAGCCGTTATATTCATTTCAGGGATGACGGAACCGTTCCGCATATTGTGGGAGGGGACAATATCCGTTGCCCAAATGGCGAGAAACTGGTGTGTCGAGTTTTCTGTGGGGGGACAATGATGGGGATCTTCCAAGTTCCAGTCCGCGTAGGGGCTGGTATGGTATCCGATGTAATCTATGGTGACATTTCGGTTTGCGACTAACTCGAATTCGACGATGGCAGTGCAGCCCTGGCCATTATCAAAGTACCAATCCACGTTATTAGAAGTCCCTAGCCAGTATTTTGCTGGCCAACATTCGAGCTCAGTCCACAGCTTCGTTGTTTCAGCCGTCCAGTTTAGCTGCTGTTGGGACGCGCCCGGATCATTATCGATATAGAACGGAAGTATTGCATAATCGGGGGTCGTGAAAGGGGGGAAAGATTGGCCAAGCCATTCTATGGCGTATGCTGTGTTGAGGATTTCGTTGGTCAAGAGCGGCGCCTGCTCTGCGAGCGGAACCATGGATGATCTCGTTGCTAATATTGCCGGTTCTGTCTTATTGACAAAGCCAGTTCCCATAATGGAGCTTTGGAGGGGAGTGATGAGCCAAAAGATGACCACCGTCACTGTTCCAGCAAAGAATACAGGCCAATGTCTTTTTAAACTGTTAGATGATGAGCTCTTCATATAGACGCCAGTTGGCACTTACCTTCTCCTGGCAGCCTTGACAGGAACCGTAGCAATGAAGTCGTAAGGGTAGTCAAGAAACATGGAGTTTTTGGCTGTCGCTCCCTCGGGTTTGGATAACTCGAACCATGGCTGCATTCGCTTGACGTCGAGGTCTACCCAGCTCCATATGAGACTGTATAATACAGCAACGATGTTGGGAACATAGAGATAGCTGATCATCGCATACTGCGGGATCTCATCTTGGGTTCGTGACAGCGCAAGACCACCCTTGGCTTGGCTAAATTGTGCTAGTACTTCAACTGCGCCGGCAATGAGAAGCGTCAATATTGTAAGCAGCATTAAAATGGCCGGGTCCATGGACAGCGGCTTCCAGCCCTTTTGTGATCCTGAAAAAATGACCTCGGTTACTTCTTCTCTCGTTGCGGCTTATAGAGACTATATCTACCATTGTCATCGTTTTGTCGTAGTGGTGCTGCTTTCTTCGGACGTCGACGCCAAAAGCTCCACGAGTCTGCACCAACCGAACTTGATCCTTGTGAAAATTGGGATTGTAGCGGCCGTCTAATGCCGTAATCGTTGGGTGAAAGAGGTTCGAGCTCAGATTGCGACGCCATTTTATGGCCAAAGCCAGGAAAGATAAAATAGACAAATAGATAGGGGAAAAAAGAAAAGAAAAAAGCGAATAGCCGTGTAATGTCAATTCAATCACACAAACGTAAGCATGGCCCCAAAGAAAGTTGTGGTTGGCCACACCAATTTTATGGCAAAAAGAAGCTGGAAGGATATGGTACACAGAAAGGCAAACAAAAGAAAAGAAATGAGAAAAGAACAGAATGCAAGGCAGGATGATGAGGAGTAAAGGTTACACACAAGGCCGACTTATAAAAAGATCCTGCAACGGTAGCACCGATGGAATCACGAAGTCACTTCAACGACCAACAGCATGTATACATCCCGTCTTAACGCGTTTTCCTCCCTCCTCCTGCAGGAAATTGTTAACGCCCAATCTCACAAGCTCGTTGGTTCTATTTTCATCGAACGGCACGCCTGGTGCAGGCATGAAACTCAGCCATCTCCACTTGCTGAACGGCTAAGCGCCTGCGCTTGCAGGCGCTGGCCAATACCGCGGCTCTACATGTAGTACTTGTATGACATGGGGCTTTTCTTATTTCGGTTACAGAATGAGTTTGTAAGAGTTTTGCGATCTGCCTTGTCTGTTGGGGATGCGGCACAAGGTGGGCTGAAGCCTTGCTGTGTTCTCTCGTTTTGCCTTGGAAGAGGGCATTTGGTGGTGAGGCTGTGGTGTTGTAGCTACCAATGCTGTGACAATGAGACCCTCATAACACCAACCCAACACCATGCTCTCCTAAAACAAATAAAATACAGATAGTAAAACTACAAAGACAAATAGAGAGAGAGAGAATGAAACCGAAATCAAGCTTAAATGTATACGTGAAAATAAAAACAAGGCACAGCAAAGAAAAACAGCTCAGAGACCAAAAATAGGTTAGCGCCAGCGGCTATCCCCTAGTCCGTGCTTCCCGAGCCGCCCTCGTCTCATTGGCCGAAAAGCTCACGGCTATTCCCTTGTTAGCCATCTGGCGCATAAGCCATAGATAGACGCGCTGGATGAGCAGATCGGCAGAGAAAATCTTTAGCAAACGGAGTAAAGCAAGGCGCAAACGGTTTGCTACAGAAGCTCGTACAAAGAGCATTAGCATGTGTTTAGGCTAGGACTTGCTAAGCTGTTTGTAATTGTATGAATTAGCTTGCGGGAGGTTCGGACAGTACATTGCTTACTCTAAGAGCTATAGTCTGTCGACCAAATTCCCAGCAAACAGAGCGCTGACCAGATATGATCCAGGCAGTATTATGACTTGGAGTAAAAAAACGCCCATTATTTAAGTTTTTAATTGTTTTCCATTCATCCTCAACTAATCATGGCAAAAGCCCCATTTTATCTTTCTAATTACCAGCACAGTCCAATGCAGATCAAAGCTCTCATAATGATACACAACAATTACAACGCTTCCTGCATATCGCATACTCGGCTCCTCCAGAAAAAAAAGGAGGGTAAAAGTGAGCATGTATGTTTGTATGCTAACTTCCTCCATCGCTATCATATCCTCCAAAGCGCTGCTCATCTCTCTCAATGGAAAAAAAAAAGTAAAGAATAAAGAAGAGAAGAGTAAAGAAAATGATAATAAAAGAAAAAAAAAAAGCAAAATGCTTATATATGGCAAGCCTCCAGCGGCCGCCACAACGCCACCAACGCCCAAAGAGTCTTTTTTGTTTTTAGAAAACGTAGATTATTGACGCGTAAACGGAGACCGCCTTCGTAATTAACCCGGTCTACAGAATCTTCAAGTCGTGCCATCGTGGTGTATGCGATATCAACTCGCAGCCATTACTTCGTCTTGTCTCGACTCGTTATACAGAAAACCCCTCTAAATCTCAATCTCTTTCATGGTATCGTCGATGATAACCTCGGGGTGCTTGCCGTTTGCCTTGGGGGATTCAACATCCTTGCCCTTGTCCTTGGCTGGATCCGACTCTGAGCGCTCAAGGGTCGTTACGGCGGGACGCTTTGTGTCTTGGCTGTTTCGGGGTGAATCATCATCATCCTCCACGTCGACCAAAGTGCTGGGCTCAATAACTGCGTCAGTGAGCTCAACAGTTGCCTCTTCTGTCACTCGGCTTAGGAAAGGAGCCGGGGGCTTGCCGACACCGTTTCTCATAGGGCTAGTAAGAGGGGAACCGTCGCGGAGGCGCTGCATCGATCGACCGCGGCTATCGCCGTTGGAATCCTGGGGATTGGCATAAGGCGAGGCAGATCGAGAGCCGAGAGGCGAGTTGCTCTTGGAAGCAACTCGGGAAACAGGTCGCTGAGACTGTCGCTTGGCAGCCTGTCGTCCATGCTTTTGGTCCATTCTCCATCGAAGGATGTTGAAATAAGAAGGCTCAACTCGCGCATCCTTGAACTCCCGAAGCTTGAGCTCATTGGTGTCCTCATCGATGAACCACTTTCCGCTGTTGAGATCATCAGCAACCAAGGCGAGGAAGGCGGCCCAAGAACGGGCAACAACGTATTTGGTGTCGTAGTCGCGACCAAACAGGATAATCTGGCCGTAGCGACCAGCAGGGCCGGGAGCCAAGTCAACGGCCAAGTTGTTGCCACCCCAATCACGGACCAGGGGAATCCAGCCCGAGTGTGCGTATGCCTTTTGCACGGTATTCGGAGGAATACAGGTCTGCTTGGCCAGGAGATTCTGTCTCCACTCGCCGGGGCCGTTGGATGATGAAGAGGATCCAGGTCGCTGCTTGGAAGAAGAAGCCTCGCTGCCAGACGGGGTGGGTGGCTTGTTTGCGGCGGCGTCCAACATGAATTGCTGATTCACTTGTCGCCACGTCTCCCACTCCTGGGGAATCTCTTCACAGTCCATCAACATTGAACCAAAGATGATGCCGGTCGGCATTCCACCTCGCTCCTGGCCGTCGTGAATCATGAGCGATTCGCGGAGATCCTGGGGCAGAGAGCAGTCCATTTGATGCTCCAGGTCGTTCAGATCGTTGTTTGTGGCGCCCTCACACAGCTGATCAAACAGCTCTGGGTAGTTTTCCTCGGCCCATGCATCGATGCGTCTCCAGGAGTGTGCAACAGGGGGCGGTGGAGGGACTCCATTCTCAAATGACTGCATGGCAACGTCACCAGGCGACTGGACCTCGAAGCCATCCTTATTTACGTTCTGCGATCGGAGGCCTGGCGAGTATCCTCGGTTGCCGTTGGTGGGAGAGCCTTGGGCGGAGGGGTTTCGGGAATCGTCAAAGTATGGGCTATGAATGTCGGCGCGGGAGTCGGAAGCGGTCGCGATGCCAGTCATGATGTTGCGGCCGTTCTGAAGCGGAACATGGCGACCGGTGCGTTGCGGCGAGTCGAAGTCGGAGTCTGTAGAAGGCGCAATTAGCATGCACGGCCGTCAATAGAAATGAGTGCAAATGCGCTCATTGAGTGAGTGGTGGATGAGCTAAAACATACGCCGGTCATTGCTGGTCATAGTATGCCAGAAAGTGCGAAAGGCAGATCCGAGTCTGTCACCAAGTCCATTAGCCCGGTCGTCCATTGCAATTGTCGCCATGCCCTGGGGTCGCAGAGCGGAAGAGAGCCAACTTACGCGGCCATGATGAATTTCTGTCGTGGGTGATTCCACCCAGCGTTGTGCGAAGGAAGCAGAAAAGAGCGTTGGAAAGGGGGGAATGGGAGTGAGTTTGTTGGCGCGTAACTCTAAGACCAGCCCGTGCAGTTTTAAAGCGAGAATACGAGGCGCGGCTCGAAACGAAAGGATGGCTCGAGGCCTGTGCTTGCAGATACGAATTTGATGCGTTGACCGCAAGAGTGCACGTTGCACCTGGTTGAGGCCGAGTCGCGAGATTGTCAACAATCAGCAGGAAAGAGTTGGCGACAAATGCTGTCTGCGGCGCAATCTGCAGCGGTTCGCGACGCCAAACGAAGCTCTGGAAAGAGGGCTCCAAAAAAAGAAACGCGGTAGATGTGGCGGGCGGGAGGCGTTTTCTTGTGCGAATTGCGTATTTGCGTATGCGCTTCTGCTGGCTCTGATAGGGCAGTTCAGGCCTGGGATATGACTTTGCTCTGACGACAGCGAATGCAGATGCTGGTCAGCCGACTGGAATTTCCAAGATCTTCGGGTGGGCGTGGGCGCAGATCACATATGCACCTGTCCTGTTTCTCTGCGGGGAAGAAAAGAATCGGAGCTCGAGGCGCAGAAGACAGCTGTTCGGCAGTTGGAAAAGAATAAAGGAACGGAATCGAGACAAGCACAAAGGGAGCGTGGGAGAAGAGAAAAGGACGGGCAGTCGCTGAGAGTCAACAGAGGTCCAAAGGGGCAGAGAAAGGGGATCAACACGGCGGACGCAGCGAGCTTCATGTACTTGTACTGGCCGCTTGCGCGCTGGGCGTGCCGCAACGGGTGGGCACAGGCGCTGCTGCGTGCGTACTGGTACTTTGGCCGGCTGAGGGGGGCCTGGGCATTGACAGGCACCGCTAGCGCTTCGGCTGGAGACTTGTAGCGGACGGTGCCTGTAGAATACAGGGGCGTCAGGGGAGCCTCTGGCCACTGAGCTGGACCTGGACCTGGCCCTGTGCCTGGCCAGCGCTGGCCCGCCTCCCGCCTCAACTATTTTCCATCTCCCGACTCCAGTCTCTCTCTCCCTTTCGGCCTCGCTCTTCTGCTGGAGAGACACGCCTCCTCCAAACGGAACTCAGCTCCATTCCTGCTGTCCAGCTGGATCCGACCGATGCATGCAATCAGAAAGTGCGTCAACCGTCGATTTCGCGACCTGTCACTCAATCTCTGGCGCTGCTGGTGCGCCGTCGACGGCATGTATGCACTTACTAATATCCCGTGCAGATTCCTCCTGGGACCGCCGCTGCCAGTCAGATTCATGGCGCATCTCTCTTTTCGGCGCCTGTCGGTACGGACAAGCTCCTCATTGGCCCTTTCTCTATCGTCTGCGAACTCGACTCGACTCCCAGAAAGAGCGGAGTCTCGCGGGGAGGGGCCACTTGGACGCCGGGCTACAGCGACATCCACCCAAAGAAAGGGGATGAACCAGGGATATTCGACAGGGGCACGACCACCCCACCGGTCTAGATAAGTGGTTACATTGGCTGGACAGAGGCCACTAATGCAGGAGGCAAGTCATCGACTTGGCTTTTGGGCTTTGGAAGAGGCCTGTTCGGGAAGCTCCAGCGGCGTCCGGAACCGCATAATCAAGCTCGTGAAATTGCAGTGGAGGGGCCAGTCGCCTTTCTCCTACGCGTGTGCCCTTGCGAGTCCTGCAATTACTGTGGCATGCCGGGAGCCTCTCGCCGTCGATGCTGCGGCGGCCAATGAGGAGAGGGCCTCGCATGCGGCATGGCCGTGCACGCTCTGCGCACGCTGTACCTGGCACGAGTACCGGTACTTGATAAAGGAGCTCAAACAGGAGTACATGCTAGCGGCCGTGGTCGTCGATGCGTCTTGTAAGCGGTATTTGTACATGGACTGACTGTTTGAGATTCCTCGAAGGTTGCTGGCATCCCACGCTGGGAGGATGGATGAGGATGAAGGAACGCCATGGCTGCAGCACCTGCAGCACTAGCATGGCGATTCAAACGCCACAGGGCGCTACTCGACGGAAAATCTCATCTGGCGTGCGCAGCATCGTGAGGGACTGGATTGGATTGGCTGCCAACACCCATTTTGGGTAGGTAGTGACATTTTCTCGCGATTTTCTCAGCTGGTGTTGAACGGGCCATGGATTCTCCGGTTTTGGACGATCGCTGCTCCGTAATGGTGCGGAGTAGCCTCCATTTAGTCTCCCAAGCTGTCTGCTTTTCTGCTGCCAGAAGGGCAAAGCCTCTTTCTGAGCTCCAAAGTAGAACACCGCTAGAGCGCGCCGTCTGGTTGATAAGAGGGGCTGGATGAGACTGCCAGCGTTCCCCTGAGTCTGTGCTCTCTCGCCCTCGGAACAGCAGCCTTTGTGCCCCATTGGTAGGCTCTCACATGCACCCATGCATCGCTATCAGCTTGTCTAGGATCCCGGTAACGTCCCACTTCTAGAAAAAAATTGTTTTCGGGGGCAAAAGATGGAAATGGACTCGGCAATAAAGAGACAAGCTAGGAAGTACTACACTTGTAGAGAGCAAGACTCGGCTTATTCATGTACCAATTCAACTGTTATCTTATCGTCCCCAAGAGCAAAGATACTAAAATTAGAAACAGGTTTTAATACAGGTACTACTCTCCACAAGTGGCTTGCAAATACAGGTGCACAGTATTGTACTGTACTGCAATACGTACGTACACGTCAATAGTGCAGCGGTTGACAGACTTTGGACTGTACGAAGTTTATGTTGATTTGTACTGGTTATCGCCACGGAGATAGAAAAACCTCTCACGCCTCTCTCTAAATATAGCTTATATGATTCTGGAATAGTAAACAGATTGAATCTCTTGCGATAATGCTCGCCAGAGTTGTCGATGGACAATGCAGGGAGCTATATACATATACACACCCTATAGGCGACATCTGGCTTCCCGACTTTTGTTGCCAGGAAAAGGAACCTCAACTGCTAGATAGGATAGGAAATAAAAGGAGAAGAAGCTCATTACGCACCAATGACTGTTAATACGTATTGTTTCTAGATGTATTCCAAATGCGGCTGTAGTGTTAGGACCGAAATGTATTGAGTAAGCTATACAAGACAGCAATTTCTATGCCAACTAGCTTTTCAACGCGCGTATAGTACGTATTTGTTCTCCTGCAGCCTTATTATACATTTTTCGAACGCCATTATGAAGGTTTGGGCTGAGATAGTACAGCCTTCGCAGAAAGTTTGCTCGTTGGATGTATTGGCAACTATTCTTGGTGGCTGCTACGCGCTGTGTGGGATACATGTACACAAACGCCAACAGCCAAAACGCAATATACCTCATAACCAGACTTAAATAATGGGCTTTTCGCTTAAACTTCGAAGACGAAGAAGCCACAATGATAAGAACACGTAGGAAAAAAGGTGTAAATAGAGGCTTGATTGTAAAAGTATATAAATGCTTGACCGTATCACAGATGCATCTTCATATTCTGCATTTACACACATTCTCATTCCATCGATCAGACTTCTTCAACTGTCTGTCACTCAGCTTTCCTGAATTCCCATATCCAGACTATATCTGGATTACAGCTGGACTTCAACTAGACTTCAAGTTGATTACATCTCAACTACATCCCGACCCCATCTCAACCACATCTCGACCACAACTCGACCACATCTCCATAGCCCGACCACAAGCTTGACTACATCTTGACTCCGCATCCTCAATACAATGGCGAGCTGGTACTCCTACCCCCCGGAAATCCGGAGCATGATTCTGGATCAGGTATTCCAGACAGGCGCAGCTTGCCGTAACCTGGGCGCCTGCGCGGCAGTTTGTCGTGAATGGCAGACGTACATTGAGCCCAAGAACTTCCGTCGGCTCGTCTTGAACCACTCCTGCGTTGCTGATTTTGGCCGAATCTTGCACAACAGGACGTGGATGGTACAGCATATCTGGTTGCGCATCGAGCTTCCAAGATATCGCTGCACCACGTGCTGCCTTCCCGAGACGCGCAAACAGAAGCAAACAAACAACCAAATCTTCACAAAGGCTCTGTTTCAGCTTCTGGAAATCCTTGGCTCCTGGGAAGATGACTCCACGGGTAGATATGGTCCTGTGGATAACACGGGGCCTGTCTTGGAGCTCAGCGTACACTCTCCGAGTGACATGAAGCACCGCAATGACGTCTTTGCCCTGGACAAGGATGTCTATCCGCACAAGCTCGACGAAAGTTGTACGTCTGAGGAGTTTGACGACTACGTGGAACGCAAGTTGCGGAAGGATTTCGACAGAGGACAAGTCTGCACGGCGGCCGTTGGCAACAGGACAAGCATCGAACATTTACGCATGTTTGCAGAAATCCAACTGGATTTCGAGGGGCTCGGATATTTGGAGTTCCCAACCGTCAATTACACCAAGGCGTTGATAGTTCGTCGGCAGTACTATCGGAGCTTCAATCCTGGAACGGTTGCTGAGATTGCCAGGAGCTTTCGCAGAATTGGTAGCTTGGCCTTTGAGCCCATCACGCGAGATCCCAACCCTTTCAGCGAAGGTATGTTCTTTTCCGTCTACCTTTTCTGTATCTTTCTGTATTTCGACATGGACTAACTTATAATCAAGCATTCAAGCAGGGGTATAAAATGCTGATACTCGAGGCATATCGCTGCAGGAGCCTCTCCATCTTCCAAGGCCATTACGGGCGCCAAGTACTACGGAAACCTTGGAGGAAACTGTCGAGCAAATTCAGCCAAAGTCTGGTAGACAAGAGCGAGTACTTTGAAAACCTATCCGTGGCTTTCGCTGGCGACGCGATTGCATTTTTCCAAGACTTCTTGCAACCAGGCAGCCAAAAGTATCGACCACATCTGGACCCATCACGTCTCGTAGTGCAGAATGCCCTATTAGGGCGTCTCCCTACCGACGAGGTACATCGGATACTCGGTCTTGGACAGGGGCAAGAGTTTCAGCAAGAGCTCCTCAAAGCAACGGGTTTTGAGGATGGGCGAATCCCTCGCTCAGTCTATCAGCCGCGGTGGCGGTGGCTCAAGACGCTGGCCTTGACGTCCCGTTTTGATCATAGATTCGATCTGTTCGAGGCCGCGGCTTTTGCTGCACTTCAGATGCCTCAGCTCCAGGTGATGGAGATTTGGGCCGGCCAGGGACTGGATCTCGTTGAGTTTTTCAGATATTCCCGCCACGAAAACGGGGGCGATGAACGTGACCCCCCAGCAATCACATGGCTTTCAGATCTCGTAGTGGCACTTGAACCACGAGTCACCGCCGCGTGGGACCAAGTCGCGCGGATGCATACCAATCAAAGCATCCGAGTCCTTGTGCCAGAGTTCCCAGGCAAAGACGAGAAGCCAAGGTCTCCGTACGGCGTGATTGGCTACTTGGAACTCCGTGAGAAGATTGTGCATCAACTATCACTGCGCGAGTTCGAATGGTATTACGATGACTGGACGAGACCCGTGGAGCGGCGTGGGGTAGAGGAAGTACGGGAATTTAATCCGTAATTCTTTGGCTGGGGATTAAGAATACTTGACACCATAGAGTATGCTATACGCACTATATGGAAGGAAAAAAGAGACTACATCTCGCTGGCATGGCCACGTTGACTTACTATTGGAACTGCGAGGGTTGAATATACTGAGAAACAAGGCGTTTACGGGCTGTATCAAGAATTGGTTTCTACTGTTGGAAATGCAAGAATCATGAGAAACAAGGCGTTTACGGAATGTATCAAAAATTGATTTCTATTTGAGTCGATGGGTACAAGGATAACGCACTTGATGGGTGTTAGGGTGATGCAATAAATTATACCATCATTGGCTTTGGACACTTTTACGAAGATAAATCATTGCGTTGTGAAAGAAAAACAGAAGATATTCAACGCCTCATGTTTCCTTTGTCGTAAATGGAGTTACACTACTCTCAAAAACAATGTGCTAAGTAATGCGTATGCAGGAGAGAAGATTAACAATAATCGCTGCTCTTATAATAACAGGTTGCGATCACTTTATACAAGCTATGAAATTATATACTAATAAATATGGAACAAATACAAAACATATATTTACATATAATAGTCCCAAACCCCCTCAGCTTTTCCTTACGCCTGTGAAAATCGCTCAACCAGTCCCAGGCGAATATGCTCTGCAAGGCTATTCAAAGATGCCGATTGCACAATAATCATAACACTGGACTCAACGTTAAACTTTTGTCGAATCCAGTTTCGCAGCTCCATGGCCACCAGCGAGTCAACGCCGTTCTTCTCAGGCGAGAGATCCGACTTGATGCTGTCCACATCTCTGATGAGGAAGTTGGCCAGCGAGGAAGCAATGGCTTGAGCAATGACAGCTGTCGTCTCTTCCTCTTCTAGGATTGAAGGAGAGTTGGCGGCTGCTGACAAAAGAGTGGACACGCTGTCTTGCTCGGTTTCTGCCTTGTTGGAAGAGTCATCTGCTCCGGAGATGTTGTGGTAGATGCTCATGCGGATGTCCTTCTTCCACACAACTCGGCTGTTGGGAGACGCCACCGGAATAGTGGTGACGAGACCCAAGAGAATTTGGCTTGAAATGTTGTAAGTGCCGTTGGCACCCTGCGCTTCAGGAGCTTTTGACCGCTGAATAGCCAAGTTGAACGCATCCAGCAGATCCTTCTCCTTCAAGATGCGCATACCAGACTTCTGGAACATGTCGAGAACTTCTCGGTTCTTCGAGACGAATCCGACCTCGCCCATGACGCCAATGTCGATGACTGATGCGGCAAGGCCCTTGCCATGTCGGTACTGGACGAAGGAATCCAAGAAGGTGTTGGCAGCGGCATAGTTTGCCTGACCCCACTGTCCGACAATTCCACTATATGAAGAGCAGAGAACGAAGAAGTCCAACGCTGATGAGATGGCGTGGTGAAGGTTCCATGTGCCTTGAACCTTGGGAGCAACGGCCGTCATCCAATCCTTGAAGGACATATCCTGCAGAGTAATGTCTCTGAGAACCATGGACAAGTTGATGACACCGGCAATAGGCTTCGTCGCAGATTGGACAGTTCGCTGCACATCCGCCATATCGCTGACGCTGCCGGCTACAAGCTGCACAGAGCATCCCTGTGAAGCGAGCTCGGTAACATAGCCGTCCAGCTTAGGACCTGGCTGAGCGGATCGAGAGAGGAAGATGAGCTCTCCTGCACCATTCTCCGCCATCCAGGTTGCCAAAGACCGACCCAGGCCGCCAAGACCGCCGACCAGGATGTAGCTGCGGTCAGACCTCAGATTGGGCAGAGGACGGGTCTTGATACCCTGCAGAGAAGAGGTGTCATCTGGCATGGTTACAATAATCTTACCAATGTGACGGCCTCCTTGCATGAATCGGAAGGCATCCTGGACTTGGTCGGCAGAAAATGCTCTGGCAATGGCGCCAGCATTAATCTTTCCATCGCGGATCCAGCCAACACAACGCTCCAATAATCTAGAGCCAAAGTTAGTTATTGAGTGGTTACACAAGGGACTATCGGGCTTCACTTACTCTGCAGCTTGCTCAGGACGCTGCTGGGAGACCTGCCAGAGATCCAGACCAACAAAGGTGCGGTTCTGCTCAAAGGCCTCCATGGCCAACTTGGCTCGGCGGCGGAAATCACGCTTGCCAATCTCGATCATGGTACCAAACTCGGCAACACACTTCCAGGAAGCGTGGAGGAGGTCTCCAGAGAGAGAGTTCAAGACGACATCAACACCGCGGCCGTTGGTTGCGCGCATGACATTGTGGAGGAACGAGGAGTCGCGAGAGTTGAAGATCTTGGAGCGAGGGATGTTAAAGTTGTTTGTAAGGTAGTTGATCTTCTCCTCGCTACTGACTGTGCAGTAAACCTCTGCGCCCAGCATCTGGGCAATTTGGATGGCTGCCAGGCCGACACCACCGCAGGCAGAGTGAATGAGGATGCTCTTTAAGATACAGTGTTAGTCAAAGGGGAGAACTGCAATGTTGGAATAGTTAGACTTACCTGGCCCTTCTTGAGGTTCGCCTTGTCGTCCAGTGCCATAGCGGCTGTGGCATACACACAGGGCAATCCAGCACCTTGCTCAAAGGTAAGAGCATCGTCAATCTTGACGCAAAGCACCTGTGATAGAGTAATCTCAGTAGTAAAGCATCCGCTGGACATGTAGATTACGCGATCGCCAACGGCAACCTTTGACACTCCAGGGCCGACTTCGGAAACAATACCGCAGCCTTCAAGACCAACCTCGCGGGTGCTGTTGTCAAGCACTCCAAGAGCAATGAGAACGTCCTATTCAAAGCACAATTAACACATAAATTTTATAATTAGAGAGGAAAGAAATACTAACTCTGAAGTTGAGGCCGACTGCCTTGGTCTTAACGCGGACCTCACCCTCGGCAAGCGGCTTCTTCGTCTCTTCAGACCATCCGATAGTGTGAAGCAGACCTGGAGTCTTCACGGTGAGGAACTTGGAAGAAGATGCTTTCGCAGCTACGACTGTGCTGTCAAAGGCCTCCGACATGGTCTGCCAGTGCAATCGAGGCACCAAAACCTTGCCGTCGACCAGAGCAAACTCCCAGTCGGGATCCATGTCCTCAGGATCCAACTCGGGATGCTGAATTCGGACAAGGATGTCTGAAATGGCCTTTGTGACGTCTTGAATAACCGCAGCTGGCTCCACTTCGAGAGTGAAGAGCTTGGCTGACAATTCGTTGCGAGCCGTTCGTGCAAGACCAATGGACATTGCGGCTTTGGGATCTCTGCATTTGACCTGGGCTGAGCCGAGAACCCACACCATCTTGGCGTTTAGAGTCTGCAGATGGCTGATCATTGTCTTGAAAGACTCTTCTGTGAACTCGTGCACGGTATCTGCTTGGAGGTCGAGAAGGGAGATGACATCCTGGGCGGGCAGCTCTTGACCAAAGGTGAAGACGTCGACACCGAGGCCTTGCAGCTCAAGAGCGTTCTTCACATCCTGAACATACGGTCCATTGGCATCATGGGCAAGCACTGAAACCTTGGCAAGTGGTTTGGACTTTATATCGACACTGGCCATGATACCGGCACTCTGGTGGTATGGGGCGATGCCATCGAGAACATGCTCGGGGTTCTTGAAACCGGCAGCGATGAGTTCCTTCTCCCAGCGGGCGGGAGAGATGTAAGGCTCATCAACACGGTCGTCCTCGTCACCAAGCCACCAACCAGAGAGATAGCCCATGATATAGTTGATGTATTTGGCATCTGGGCAGAGTTCTTGGAGGAAGATCCGGCCACTAGGGCGAAGCAATTCTCGAAGATGTCCAAGAGAAACCTGCAAATTGGGAGTAGCGTGAACAACCTGTAATAGAGTCAGTGATTGTTAGTAAAAGACATGGGCAAAAGGAAACATACATTGTATCCAATGACGAGATCGTAAGAGCCCTTCTGTAGCTGCTGCTCCGCAGGATCCTTAGTAACGTCAAAGGTCTTATACTCGATCGCTTCAAAGGCACCGAAACGCTCCTTGGCTGCAGAGAAGAAACCGGCAGAGATATCGGTATAGGTATAGGTGCTGTAGAGTCGCTGGCCAGTCGAAGTCGTCAGAGCATCCAGGACCTTTGACGTTGTTCCTC